AGTTCCGTTTCCGGGACTCCGGGTACCTGCCCTCCGGATTTTGCTCACTCCACGAATCGCAGACTCATTGACAGAGAGGAACTCACGCACGCGGAGACACTCACACACACAAGCGCGCGCGCCGAGGAGAGGTATGCACGTACCGCGACCAGATTAAGATGCAACCGGGCCTCTGCAGCGGTAGACATGTCGGAGCGGACCCTCCATGTTTGTCGCTCCATCTTTGACTAGTTCCAATTTTAGTATGACACGTCCCTCTGCAGAAACTGGTCGCGGTTACTCACCTGCCCAGCGGTGCCAGACGCGGATCCGCCGACAAAAGGCCCATCAATCGAAAAATTTTATCAGATAAAAAAAATACGGAAATTGAAGGCGTTCCAACTTTTTAACAATTTTTACTGGATCACTGGAAAAAAACACATTGGATCTAGAGTTCAGACTCTTAAAAACATTGACAAGAAAAAATACTCTTGATTCAATCAGATTTTTACTTAAATCAAAAGAAAATCCGCTCAAATTAAGAGGCTTGGTTCTTGATCTAAGCAAAAATCCGATTTAATCAAGAGTATTTTTTCTTGTCGATGTTTTTAAGAGTCTGGACTCTAGATATAATGTTTTTTTTCCAGTGATGAAACTCTGCAATGAGCTGATATTAATACGACAAAATTTGGTAAGACACACTAAAAAAAAGAATCCGGCCGTGGAAGCCGTACTTACGGGCTATACAGACATACAATCCGCGTTCCGGGCTCAGAGGTCGAAAGTTCCGGGCGTAGCACCCTGAGCAGTTGAAACTACGGCTCCAGCGCCCGGAAGTTTCGGCCTCTGAGCCCGGAACGGACGGTATGTCTATATAGCCCGTAACTTTTTTTTCAGTGGTCCATTCGAAAAATAGCCCGGATATTTCAAGAAAGCCAAACACAAGAAAATAGGTAAAAAGGTTGAAACGATCATCAAAATACCTGGCACATTTTTTGAGATGACATCAAGTCCCTCGTCAATCCAGTAATGAAAAAGGAGATTACTAAACAGGAGGCCCAAGTTTTTTTTCAATTTTTCGATAATGTTATGTTTACTTTCTTGTTTCCTGTTTGACAAGAGGTTGATACCATTCCGAAACGTCGTGAGCATTTTAATGTGTGTTTCAGCCTTCTTGGCCCCTGAATCAACATCATAGTTATCATCTTTTTGGGAAAGTTAATGCCCAACAGCTAAAATATAAGTTAATAACATCTGAAAATTGATATTTCAGTGACAAACTTTTCCATAGAAAATTGGGAATCTTTCACATTTTCTGATCTGTTGAAACACTTTGGTCAAGCAACATCTCAATTACGATTGTTTTGGAGGAAATGCAAAACATATTAATACTTTTTTCAAAAAAAACCATGAAGATTGTAACTTCAACAAGATTTCTAATACACCTCATAAGTAATTTGTAAAATTAACAGAATTATTAGTAAGCGCAGAGATCTTTTTTAAACATGTCGAGAGATACCGTTGAACAAATGAAAGTTCTGTTTTAACTTACACGGCAAACTAAAACTAAGTAAAGTTGTTTCTCAAAACAATATTTTTAAACTGCAAATCTAGCGCGTCAACGTTTTTGTTTGGTTTGGCACTTTGTGGCGTTTTTTCATGCATAAATGGGTGTGTAAAGCTCTCCTTAGAAATGGTACCAATACTTAGCTCAATTTTGAGTATTCCCACACCGAGGGACCTTATCCCGTAGGCGGCTGAAATTTTTCTGAGAAAAAACGCTAGAATTTCCTATCCATGACACCCTCCGATAATTTACTGTACAGGGTTTCGTCATGAAAATTACCTATGGCGACTTCTCTCTGGTCTGAATCACATCATATGTATCCTTTTCTGGGAAAAATTCAAGGAACGGTGTATCAGATTACCAAGCACTAGGAAAAAAAGTTCGCTTATATGAACCTAATGTACGGTGTTCAGTATCGGCCGTATGTTCGGTTCATGCGACCGCACTCTCGGTTCTGGGAGCCGTATCCTCGGTTCATGCAACTGAACTTTTTCGTCAGTTGTGTTCGGGTTGAATGCTCGGTTGCATAAACCGAGGATACTCCGACTCTCCGACCGTATGCTCGGTTCATGCAACCGAACTCGGTTATACGGTTCCCAGAACCGAGAGTTCGGTCGGAGAGTCGCAGTATCCTCGGTTTATGCAACCGAGCATTCAACCCGAACAGAACTGACGAAAAAGCTCGGTTGCATGAACCGAGGATCCGGCTCCCAGAACCGGAGTGCGGTCGCATGAACCGAACAATACGGCTGGGTTCACATGAGCGAAGTTTTTTCCTCAGCGTAGATTCACAATTTTTTCGAGAATCGGCAACGCTGCACGCGTCTTTTTTCCTTCCTCCGTTTCCTCTTATTCATTCTTTTTTTAGCCGTCCCTTACTTTCTTCAAGTTTTTTCCTTGCGAACCCTGCCAGACAGCTTGGCACTGGAATTATACCATCTTGGTAACTGTTATCAATTCGATACTCTCCGGAGCGCTCGCACTATTTCCGAGCTACCCCTCCCCCGACCCGGAGGCCGCGAGTTTTTTCCTCCACTCCGGCCCGATATAGTCCGCGCTTCTAGTTCTAGATTTTTCATAGTTTTCGCTCCTGAATGAGAATAGACTCGGCGGAAGAAAAATGCCCCGGCAGATTTACGACCTCTGTCAGGTTATATCAGACCGATCGCTCAATAAACTTTGAATTTTTTCCTTTTCCGTCCCTTTCGGTTTCGGAAACCGCCTCGAAATTGAAAGACGGTCTGCGAAAATAAATGGCCTTTTTTCGAGTTGGGCGGCGCGGGCAAAGGGAATCCCGGTTTTTTTCACGTTTCAATTAGAGTCGCGGCACGAGGGATTGTAGGCGAACATTAGAGCGGTGGGCTAGCCATGAGACTCATCGAGCGCTATCCATCAAGCTGATTTAATCATTGAAATCAGTGTTCCTATCTTCCCATATCTCCGGGCCAGCGCAGGATCCGACAGTCGTCATGTGAGGTCCTCACATTAAATTCTCACTAGCTCGGCCCGACCAACGCTGGGAATGAAGAGGTGGGGACTAAACAGATGTGTTAAAATGCTTCTTGTAACCATTCCATTCCTCATTCTCATGTTATGCTCATGTTGAAGCACGAGGATTCGTCCAAAAGCTCACATTTCTTCATGATAAATGGTACATTATTAAAAAGGCTTTAACTATCGGTCTCCTAAGAGACGGTAGACTTAAGGGACTCCGCACTAGTGTTTTCCCTATATTGTAAAAGTTACTTTCAACGGATCGATTATTGAAATTGATAGACAAAGCTGTAGACAAAGGAGACAAAAGGGATACGGAGGGATCCTATTGGTGGAAGCGGGCGGTTGCGATGGACAAAGGCAGCAGGTAATAGACTATTTAACTGCAACCCACGAGAACCCGACAGTTAGTCTATCATTTTCTCCCTTAGCCTATAAGAACCACACACTTTAACCAATAGGATCGCTCCATACTCCCTATGTCCTTTTTGTCTATTGCTTTGTCTATCAATTTCAATAATCAGCCCACTGAAATCAACGCTTAGATTCGCCTTATTATGACCGATGACCGTCAAGAGACGATCAAGTGGAATTATTTCTGTCAAATGGAACTATGTACATTATGACGTGAGCCCTGTTATGCATGTATTCTTATGGGTCTCAGGGGTCATGCCTTAATGCACATGGTTCCGTTTGACAGAAATACGTCCAAGTGGTTAAGCAGTCTTAATCTAATTTGCAGAAACTCGCCTATCAAAATGATCGCCCCAACATTTATCAGTCATGGTAAAAATCATCTCGTTGAAACGCCACATTTCGACGATGTCATCGTTCGAAATATTGCTTCCTCTATGAAACATGTCTAGGACTCGCTCAAGCGCGTCAGAGCATACCATATAGTTCTGTCCATCATGTCTCTTTGTACCAGTGATGACATAGGGGTTTGCCTATGGATATACTTGTTTGCGTAAGTGCGATGAAGGTCTTTGCATGTCGCACGGATTTGCGATTTATGTACCTAAATGTATCCCATGTAACCCAGTGTAATGTAGCTTTAATGTGCCTGAATTTACCGTCATGTGTGTGGAAAATACAACATTGCCACTGGTTTTTATGGAACCAACTTCCAAACTTTTGAAACAAAAAATCTCTGAGGTTGAAGTCGTACTGAAAGAGCGTTAGCATAGGGTTCCCAATTTGTGTAAAAACGCTTAGGTTACAGCCACGGTAACCTCGCTATTATATTAGCTTCCTATCTGTGCGTGGAGAGACTTTGACTGGATTGTAGAGATGGTCTCTCTCATAACGGTGGGAGATCCTTAACTTGGAGAGCTTTTATTGAGCTTGAGATTACTTTTCGAAGAATATCAGTGACACTAAGTGCTTCTCGTAACATTTTACATGGAAGAAAATCTTAAGCCGCAAATCGTTGAGGCATACGTACATTACAAGAGCTCTAGTAGGAGTCAATACTGGTTTTTGTGACTTTCGGAACGGGTGTAACCCATTCTAAGCAGGATAAGAGGTGTGTGAAAAAACGGCTAAAAATGCCTCAAGGCAATTTTGAATTTTGAACACTTGGGGTGATACAGTTTCTTTCGAGACGCCCAGAACCGGTCGCCGTTTTGCTTAGAACCGCCGGGTTGCGATGTTGCCATTTTTTAAAGCTCTATTTAAGAGGAACATTTTAAAAAAAAGTTCATTGAAATCGGTTGAGATGCAGTGGAAATATGAATTTTTAAAGGTTTCTTCTTTAAAAAATGGCAACGTCGCAACCCGGCGGTTCTAAGCAAAACGGCGACCGGTTCTGGGCGTCTCGAAAGATACTGTATCACCCCAAGTCTTCAAAATTCGAAAATGCCTTGAGGCATTTTTAGCCGTTTTTTCACACACCTCTTTTTGAAGCAAATTCCAGTTTTTCTCTTTTAAAAAATCAAGGCGAAGAGGATGATAATCTTACCAGCTAAGGCATCATCGTGAGAGGAGGGTGGCGTAGGGGAATCAGAACTACTTGAGTCGTCACTGTCTGATCGGAGCGAAACAGAATCCTCCTATAACAAAAAAAAGGACACATTCTTTCAATAACAAATGAAAAACTACAAATTTCATACCAAACTGAAGTAAAAAATCTTGCGCATGTTATATTGTTTCAAAAAGTACGGAAGTGAAGATATTTACTACTTACTCATGTAAAAAGAGGGGAGAGGGGGGTCTGAATCCTACGAACTGAGACGATGAACTAGTTTACGTGGAAAATTGCAAAACACAAAAATGAATAATTGTGCTACATTTTGCAATTGGGAGCCGCTATTTCTGGCTCATCTATAAAAATAATCATCTACCTGCATATGAACTTACTTCCTAATGTAATCCAATTGTGAGACACTAAACAAGATAAATCGGAAAAATTGGACCATGAATCGACATTTTGAAATATAATTTTTGGAATGATTTTGTGGAGAAAATTTTCATGAAGATCATTTGCTTTTGTGTTTCCAGAATGTGCCAGAAACATTAGTTCCATATTGAAAACTGTAATCCAAATTAGACGTTTTAAATATCATTCGAGAGGGTGGCGCGTTGAAGAAGACAATACGAGATACACATAGAAAAAAAAAAAAAGGGAATGGAAGATACCCCAGAAAATTTACAGAAAAGGGAAAATCAGCAAAAAAATTCCAAGCATGTTACTTCGAATGAAGCAGAAGCTGAGATATTTGCGCTCCTTTTTCTTTTTCTTTTTTTTTGTTCAGAACGGAGTGACGAAAAAAAAGGGCGAATGAAGAAAAGGCTGAATTGAGACGTTCACGTCATAAGAAATTCGTCCTCCTAATCATTTGAATCGATGAAATTGTCAAAAGAGAAATTCTCCCGTTGAAAAGGCACGAAAAAACAAGGGGATTGACGGATCGATCAATTGAAAAAACGCGATAAATAAACGAGGGAAAAACGAATGTGAAAACGGGGCGTCGGAGAGATTTCAATAAATTAGCGAGTGGCTTCGGCCGAAGACGACAGGCGCCAGGGCATTACTCGAGGGTCGTCCTGCCGTGCTAAGGAAGAACACCGTATGAGCCGTCAGACGTTGCCAAGTTTCCTCCGATAAAAACCGAAATTACTGCGAAAATTGTGAATATCATTTTCAAAACATTTCAGACAATTTTGTACGCAATTTAAACTAAAATATCTGAAGATTTCAAGAAAGAGTAAGCATGAATGTTGTCACAAATACATACAATTATCAAGGGAAATTTGGCAACTCTTGAGTGTTCATACGGCGTTTTTCCTTAGCGCGGCAGCGTTGGTTCACGGATGATGTTTTTCTTTTTTGTTTTCGACACTTGCCCGTTTTTACGATCGGGCCGAACAATAGCGGAGAAGTGGGGCATCGCCTCACCAACCCACTCGGGCGTTTTCGCAAAAATTCTGAACAAATTCCTCTGCGAGCCTGTCCGACGGGCTGGAGTGTCCGTGGATCCCCGACCCCGGTGATAATGTTCAGAACTTAACATCTACCTACCACGAGCACAGAACTTCTGACAGCAATTTAGAGGATTGTGAACTTAACCTGGGGTACTTGAGATATCGTGGGAATTCAGGACCGGGTGCATTCATACACTGAAAAAAAATTCTCGGCGTTTTTACCAAGGTCCGTTGGTACTTTTACCATCTCACTTTTTTTACCAATTATTGGTAACTTTACCAAGACTGACTGGTAAGCTTACCTAAAGACCGGTATTTTTACTGTTTTTTTCAGGTAAGAATACCACTTTTATTGGTAATCGATTCCCGGTAACTTTGCCATTTTATCTCGGTAATTCAACCACAGTCGATAAAAAATATTGGCGTTTTTACCAAGGGCCAGTAACATTACCGAGAAAGTTCAATAATTTTACCGAGATATCTCGGTAAAATTACCAATTCTATAAATGGTAATTTTACAAAGAAAAAACTGGGATCAAATAGAACCCTGAATTCTTGGTAATTTTACCCTTTTCTTAGTAAATACACCGAGATTTTTTTTTCAGAGTATAGTCATATTCAAAGTCCTTCCTTAAGCGTTAAGGCCTCCTCAATTCATTATGACGACGTTGCTTAAGGAAGCTTTGATGTTTGAAGAACGACGATGAGTAAGACCACAGAGTAATTGAATCTCTTACAATTAGTTCGAAAAAACGACTCATCTCGGAAAAATGAAAATTCTCAGGGGATGATAAAAACTGTGTAACAGCCAAAAAAGGAGTGTTTCTACGTGAGAAAATGGACATAATAGTAAACCCGAGTTGCGTCGTTTTCGAACTGAGAGATTCGATCCTTTCATAAACGCCTTGGCTAAGGGTGACCACTTTTAATTGGACGTATTTCTGCCAAACAGAACTATGTGTATTAAGACATGAGCCCTGAGACCCATAAGAATACATGCAGAACAGGGCTAACGTCATGATGCACATAGTTCTGTTTGGCAGAGATACGTTCAATTCGGAATAGGATAAAGGGAAGTTTGAGGAGATTCTAAAGATGTTTAAGGACATAGACACCATAGTTTTTCAGTTCCGGTAAAACTAAAGTTTTTGGTCAAAGTTAACCTAACTTTAGTTCAGTTAATCGAAATTTGGTTCGTATGATTCAAAACTTCGGTTTTCTGAACTGAAAAACTCTGACTTCCAGTATAAACCGGGTCCGGTCCGGACGTCCCCTCGAAGAAACTACAAACAATGAATATGAATACTGCATAGCATTCAAAAAGCCCGAATAAGTAGTGAAGTAAATAAATTATAATGAAAATGTGCGGATTGAGGATTTGAGAAAGATCTGACAGCCATGACCGAAAGTATTCCATTTGATATCGCATAAAGCGGCACGGGGCACAGGCTTCTCGATATTAATTGGAGCAATTAAGCCATCCGGGCCGAAATTCATCGCAATCGGCCACTCGCAATAATTACGCCTCGCGGATTCTATTGCCTTTTTCTGCGACCCGCGCCGGCAATTAGCGCCGAATTGCCGACGAGCCAATCGGACAATGATAGGCTTGCTCTGCTCGTAAAACGCGATCGCACGTCCTTTGGATTGCTGAAATCCCGCGAGTCGATTCGCGCATGCGCGCCCCGAAATCTCCACGTAGCCCCCCCCCTCTCCCACCAATACTGAATGCACGGTTGTTTTTCCTTTACGCGCGTTCAAGTCACTCCGCATACTCATTTGGACGTATTTCTGTCGAACGAAACTATGTGTATTAAGACATGAGCCCTAAGACCCTTAAGAATATATGCATAACAGGGCTCATGTCATAATGCACATAGTTCCGTTTGACAGAAATACGTCCATTTTTTAATTGAAAAGGACAAGTTAGTGTCGTCAAGGGATGAAATCAGTGCTAAGGTGAGAACGATCGATATTTCCCGTTTGAGGCTATAGTAAAGAATCGATTATAAAGGCGATTGTTGCGAACACCCTATTTATCGATCCTTTTTCATAGGTTTAAATAGCAGATCAATTGATATATAGCAAAGCACGCAACGCCACTGGATGAAATCTAAGGCCCGTCTTTCTTAGTTATTCCCTGAGCAGCTCCACTTCTTAGGAAGCCTCACATGGTTTACATTGTGACTAAGGGAAGTTTAAAGAGGTCATTAACATATCATCATAAATAGGACAATTTTAACGAATCTTGAGTGGAATTGTTGAAACCAAAAATTATGAGAAAATTATAGCTGTCGTCGATGAAAAGTTACATTTCTTTGAAATAAAACAGAATGATTTCAATTATAAAACTCTCTTTCGCTCAAAATATTATTCCCTCAAATAAAAAAAAAAATGTGACCCAAGCATTTCCTTTAAATCGAACACATGGAAAAAAGTATCTTGGATATGCAGTTCAAACTCTTAAAACATTTGACAAGAAAAAATACGATTGATTCAATCGGAGTTTTGCTTACATCGAGAGCCAATCCTCTTAATTTAAGCGGATTTCCTTTTGATTCAAGCTAAATTTGAATCAAGAGTATTTTTCCTCGTCATAATTTTTAAGAATCTGGACTCTGGATCCAAGATACTTCTTTTCCAGTGAATATATTCCTATAGCCAAAATAGATGTTTTTAAATTTAACTTTTCCTCCGCGTTCCTCATTGTCTTCACAATGGTTCTTTGAATGAGCGATCAGCGATCAATCTCAACGCTAAGCCCCTCCCTCCCCTCCTCTAGGGGACGCGCTCCCCCCCCCCTTCCTCACCCTGAAGTCACCTGCAGTGATCCAAGAGAGCGGAGCATTTATTATGATCAATATTACGATCCTTTTACGAATATCTCCCTCGGGTCGCTGACAAATTGAATTCATTGTATTGATATATTGTGTCTGGTTGATTAATTAAGTGATGACGTTGATCTCAGAATCGTATGATTTACTCCGTCCGCGACTGCCAAGCAGAGTTTGTCAGAGCGTCTAACCTCGTCGCTCCTCCAGCTTAAGGGCGCATCTCTATTTATTATATGAGCTTTGGAAAGTATAGATCCATACGGGGGACAAGGATCACGTGATAATTGAAATACGTTTTTATGTTAGAGTTGCGACGATCTGTGTCCTTGCAACAGAGGGGAAGCGGAGAGACAGGCTCGCTATGAATGAATCGGTTGTAAATAAGAGGAGGATACGAATCATCTGTGCATTATGATCTTCTCATCAATTGCCAAGTATAAGAGAAGCTATCTATACTATTTTTCTCCTTACAGGATATGAGCACTTGAGCAGCGTTTGTTTTATTACCGACCTTAAAAATTATTTGAACAAATAATTCATTAATATAATAAACTCAACGGAGTTTTAACCTGCACTGGAAAAAAAATACATTGAACCTAGAGTCCAGACTCTTAAAAACATCGACAAGAAAAAATACTCTTGATTCAATCAGATTTAAGCTTAAATCAAGAACTAAGCCTCTTAATTTGAGCGGATTTCCTTTTGATTTAAGCTTAAATCTGATTGAATCAAGAGTCTTTTTTCTTGTCAATGTTTTCAAGAGTTAGCTGTATTATACCACACTTGCATAGTTG